AACCTTCCTATCGGGAGGAGGAGACCTGAACGGCACCTCCATGGAGCCTCCGGCGGAGAGGACTCAGCCCAAACCTGGTCAGCTCATCTCAGCCCAGACAACCGCTCTGGGAAAACGAGGTCCCTGCCTGCCCACGGGGAAAGAACGCACGCAGTTTTATGAAGAAAAGAAAAGTTTGGTCTATTTCCCTAATAAAGCATTCCCTTAAAGAATCTATAACAGCAAAGAAAGTAGCATGGGGAAGGAAAGAGCAACCGTACGTTCCCATTCGAACCAAGAAGCCGGAGAACACTTCTCCAGGTGTGCAGAGGGCACCCCCCCGCCCCCCCGCCTCTCCCACAGAAATCCCGTCAGGCTCTCCAGTCCCGCCTCAGGGTGCGCTTTAAGGAAAGCTGGTCCCGCAGATTGCCAAGGAGATGCGCGGGAGTGGAGCACAGCACAGAGGAGCAGAGTCAGAGGGAGCACCTGCCTGCGGGACTCCGGCATCAGCCGGGCTTACACCTCAGGACGACCCAGCCCGCCGTGTGCCGACCTCCAAGCTCACGGGAAGCCGGGGAGACCACAGCCCAGCTCCCTCCATCTGGGTGCCGCACCCCCACTCCCTGGAGGCAGCCCGAGGGCACAAGCACAGGCAGGGCACCCCCTTCCAGGCCCGTGGAGCTCCGGAGCCCGCTCACGCGGAGCCCGCTCACGGCATAGCCAGCAGGGGAGGTGTCGCTCACCTGCTCCAGCCTGACAGGTCCCATCGGGATGCCAGAGCTGCTCGCTCTCCTGTGGGAGCTCACTGCGGGTGCGGTCCGCTCCGGAGCACCCGCCCGAAGCAGCTGCCACTCAATGACCGGCAGCCTAATCACATCGCTGCCTGTCTGGTGTCTTCCTTTAAAGAGGGTGATGATTACCCTCCTGGCCTGGTCCAGGGCGGCCCCAGGGCTCCAATGGACTAAGTGCTGAATGACAGGGTGCTCTCAGGTGGGCACCACACTCCGTGCAATCAATGAACGGCCAGCACAGAGACCGCGCTGGCCCTAACGGACTCCCGACCAAACCGCAGAGCAATCAAGTAATGTGTCATAGATAATGCAGGAATTCCAGTTCCGAGGCCGTCTAGATGCTCCTGCAGACAGGCTCCTGATGGAGATACCCGCCCGCCCCATCCAGCAAAGGCCCCCACGCTGGAACGGCCCTGCGAAGAGGGAGGAACCGGGACAGAGACGTGCACAGATGTGTCTTCACCAGAGCGCAGCCCTGACCGGGACGGGACTGGAGAAGCCTGGCGGGCCTGGGGCCCACGCACACCACTCAGCACGGTCAGTCTGAGGTTCGGGAGAAAGTCCTCCCGGAAGCTCCCCAACGAGAGGTCATGGTCCCAGCGGGGAGCAGGCGCAGTCATGCTCCCAGGCGAACGGCTCCCTGAGTGCGGGGAGAAGCTGCTCGCAGGGCCAACTGCGAAGCCTAAAGACAAACCCCGTCACTCAGTGAACACAGCAGGGACGGGGCACTGACCAGGCCCTCGGCCGTCTCCTCCGGGTGAAGGAGTTAAATGAGATGCACAACCCCTCGCTCACATCTTAGTCTCAGAGCAGACAGGGCTCCGTTCCCGTTAGGGCCTCTGTGGGCAGGAGCGGGACCATTCCCGCAGGAGATACAATGAGAATGAGTAGACAGGCTATGCCAGTGGTCGGCAAACTCATTAGTCCACAGAGTAGCAAACCAAGGTTCACAAGGCAGTTTGCCGACCACTGGGCTATGCAATCACCGTTTCTCCAAAGTCAGAACCAAAGGCCCCGGGTGCCGGTGAGCTCCTGCCTTTGGGCAGAGCCAGCACCTGCAGCACGCGCTGAGATCAGGATTGACTGCGAGAACAAAGCAGCTCAGGGCGATCAGAAAGACTGCCGCTGTCTGACTCTTTGGAAGGAGGAAAACCCCCAAGGGCATGCTCTCAGCGAAGGCCTTGTCGCTCAGGTAGGAAAGGGGAGACAGGCACTCCTCTCCTCAGAGGAGCTCCTTCACCGCTGAGTGTTTGCTCAGAACTCACAGAGCCATTAGCAACGGCCGAGGAAGGAGACGGGCCTTCCTGGGCGCCGCGACCCCGCGGGGCAGCCGCGGGCACACTCCCTGTTTGCTCAGGGCGCAAGCCTGTGAGTCACTCCGCAAGCCTTTGAAGGGTAACTGCATTTATTCCCATAAGAGCCATCCAGAGAGCAACAAAAGAACAGCCAAACACGAGAAAAAGCGCCTCCTTTGTGCTCCGAGAAAGTAAGTCTTGGTCATTAAGGAGGTAAAGAGTTCTATTCTGTGTGAACTTTCTCTTACAAACACCAGCCCGGTAATTTTCCAAGGAGGATTAGTGGTCTTCCACTCAGACCTGCTTGAAGGTGAGGAGGAGTGGAAACCGTGTACACACACAGTGAAAAGCAGGTTGCCAGGCACTGGGTTCTGTGCCATGTGCTGCAGGAATTACTCTCGTTATCAAATGCTGCACACACGGCCCCCAAATTAAGCATATTAACATCAAGATTTTATTTTCAATCTTTCTCTCCTCTGTTCTTTAGACTAGATGATTTCTACTGATCTATCCGCACGTACACTAACATTTGTTGTTGTTAATCCTTACCTGAGGATATTTTCCCATTGATTTTTAGAGATTGGAAGGGAGGAGCGAAAGAGAGAAACATCGACGTGAGAGACAGATAGCGACTGATGCCTCCGCACGAGCCCCAACCAGGGTCAGGGATCGAGCCTGCAACCGAGGTATATGCCCTTCACAGGAATCGAACCCAGGACCCTTCAGTCATGGATCAATGCTCTATCCACTGAACCAAACTAGCTATGGCCAGACTCGTTTACTCTGTCATCTCTATTGAATTGTTAAGCACATTCAGTAAAAATTTTAGTTTGGATACTATATTTTTCAGTTTTAGAATTTCCAATTGGTTCATATTTTTATAGTTTCTATTTCTTTGAATCATACTATCTTTCCCTGCAGTAAAAGGATATTTTCCTTTATATCATTGAACACGGTTATAAATGCTTTAAACTCCTTGTCTGCTAAACCTAGCATTTGTGTTATCACAGTCAATCTCTGTTAATTATCTTTTTCTCTTGAGAATTTCCCTGTGTGTTAATGAGTCTGGATCCTGGACGCTGCAAGTGCTATGCTGTGGAAACTCAGCATTCTAGTGCTCTAAAACACTGTTATGCTTGTTTTAGTAGGCAGTTATCTCAGTTGGACCTTAACTGTAAATTCTTTAGGATGACCGTTCAAATCTCAATGCAATTATTCCATCCTTCGCTTAGCTGCGTGATGCCTGGCCCACACGAGTGATTCCGCATCAGAAGGGATGTAGCCGTCAGCACGGAGAACTGGGGCTTGCTTTATCCTTCCCAGGATTACCTCCCTCACCTTCCAAGACTGTGGCTGCTTCACACTGTCCTTCATTCTTTAAGCAAAAGGTCTAGAGATTCCCATCAGAGTTCTAACTGCCCTGCATCTCACACACTCTCTCTCACACACTCTCTCTCTCTCTCACACACACACACACACTCACATTGTGCCTTCTTCCCCCTCAATTCAACTCAGAATCCGCTATTTGGGTCAACTTTGAGTGTCTTCATGAAGCTGTCTTTTGCCCAAGTTTATAATTATTATACAGGGCCATTACAAAAGCAGAGCTTACAACTTAATTCCCTGCCTGATTTTCCCTTTTTCTCACAACGTTGTGGGCGGGGCACTCAGGAAGAGCTTGCTGGGCATCTGCTGGTACCAGGACACCGAGGTCAGTGACTTCCGAATTCGTGTCTCACATGTCTCATGCCTCGTTCCTGAACTGGTCTCTCTATCCCCACACTGCCTCTCCTCCTCTTGGCACGGTGAGCGCAGGGAGTCTGCTCTGACATGGTGATGGCGTCTGTGAGGCAGGCAGCGGGCCCGCCAGGCAGTGTGCGCCATCACCAAGGTGGCGCTGGACCACCCCTACCACATTTTGTTGTTCAAAGTGGTTAGAAAGCTCTATCCTCCAAATTCAAGAGGATGGGCAGTGGCAAGATCACATGTAGAAAAACAGCAGATTATAAGTCTTTGTGTGGCCATGCTGGAAAAGTGGAATCTGCCACACACATATTCACTATTTGATGAAGCAAAGTGTGAGGAAGATACAGGCAGTAGTTCAACATGAAGCCTGCGGTCTAATTCTCCTGCCGTCGTTTTTTATCGCCTTCTCATATTATTGATATGATTACCTCTAAGTTATTCAGCACAAAATAGGTTTCTAATGCAATCTACTGAGTTTCCAAAGAATTAATATTATATCCATTTCAAAACTTCTAGAAGAAATGCTTATGTTGTATAATCCAAAACGTAGGGCACAGATACAAATTAAAGTGTATCTGTTTTTCTTAAGATAATGTCAGTAACTGCCGGTGCCTGGCCAGAGCAGCTCCAGAGCAGCTCGGTGGTTGAACATCCTCCCATGCACTGAGAGGCTGCCAGTTCGATTCCCGGTTAAGGAACATGCCTGGGTTGCAGGTTTGATCCCTAGTCGGGGGAGCATATGGAAGGCAACTGATCAGTGTCTCTCTCCCTCCCATTCTCTCTCTAATCATGTCCTCAGCTAAGGATTAAAAAATAACTACTATTTACTGTGTCTACTATATGTTTGACGGTTTCTAGGCTTTTTAAATACCTGCTTTTATTGACTATTGGCTAAGGACATTAGGTTGTTTAAATGCATAGGCATAGGACGAAGATCAACAATTTATAAGAAAGGAGACTGACTCAAGGACAAATACAATGTAAATTACAAAAATACAAACCCTAATACAAGTAATTATGGCCTTAGATGTTTATCTGTGGGAATACATATACACACATACACATATCTCAAGCTACTTTCTAAGCGCTGTAAGCTTTCTCGCCAAAAAAAGTGATTATTTTCTGATTTTAAACATTACATTCTAAACGAAGTCACATATGTCTGGTGCACAGTAAGAAACAGTCTTACCTTGTCTTGGTTATCTTTGTTCTTGTAACACATGTTTCCGATCAGACGGATGAGATGAGACCGAAAGCCCTCAACCATGTTGGCGACGTCCCCGTCCGCTCTGATGCTGGCACAGGTGCTGAAGATGTTGGTGGTGTCATTGGCAGTTACGTGGATCAACCGTAAAAGATCTATGAGGAAAACAACAAACTTCATTTGCCACAGGAAAATTTCCAGTAGGTGGTACCAGTTTCCCACAAATGAATCTAATTGATGTTGGTGGATTAAAATCAAATGCAGGTAGAGTGCTGAAAGCTGCTTTTAAATAATGATTAAAAGGCTCTTCTAGATTTGCTCTACATTTTTCATGACTGGCTTTGGAGACAGAAGCCATCATGACGACCCCAACTTGGCTTTCCATTTATCCACAAGGAAAAGTTAGCTGCTCATTCCCACCATCTTGTTCAGAAAGAGGTGTCCAATCTCAGCTTCCTGCGTAAGAACGGCTGAGGCCACAGTCAGCTGAGTTTGCATACCAGCTGTCTGTGAGGAGCCACACCACACAGCCTGGAGCACGGTGTCCTCTGGCCAGGCGATGAGGTGGCACGTGCTCTCCAGGTGCAGTGTGGCTACATGAGAAGAGCTGATTAATGCTGTTAGACTGTATAGACACCGTTAAGAGCCTAGAAAAGAAGCTGTATTTGAGTGTTGGCGCACTGTCTCATTTAACTCGCTCAGCCAGCCTATTAAAGGCAGTTAGTTGTCTCTCTCCCAATTCATAAGATGGTATCAGGCTGAGAGAAGTTAGTAATTTCAGAGCTGAGATGGCAGCCTGTGCGTGCCCTGACTCCAAATGCATGCTCTTCCACAATGACTCGCTGCCCAGGTCTGTGGTGTTTTAATGATCACTAAAAGCAATTTATTCAAAAATAAAACACCGATGTGAGATTCTAGCTATTGTCTAGAGCTCCCTAAGAGCTCGTCTACCCATCTAAATCCAAATTCATCTCTTCCAGAATAATTACCACCTTTTCTAAAGAAACACGCAGCAGCCAGGGAATGGCAGCAGCATGGCTGACCACAGAAGCAGGCTCCACTGGAATTATTCTGCAAACAGTTTTTTGGCAAAGAAGGTAACATTTCACACACTGGCTTCTTGCTTAAAAACAACCCTACATAATAAAAGCATAGTATGCAAATTGTCCCCTCGACCAGGGGTGGGGCTGGCCGGGGAAGGGAGCGAGGCCCCGGCCAGCAGCTGTGATGGCAGGCAGCCAGGGAAGCAGGGAGTACCGGCCGGCCGCTAGGGACCCTACCAGTGTGTGAATGTCACGCACCGGGCCTCTAGTTTCCTATCAACATCAAAGACACAGTAACTATGTGTCAGGCACTATTCTTCACGCCCCATACATGTAACTAGGAAAATTTTTAAAAACCGATTTGGTAAAACTACAGTGATATTAAAAATGCTATCATCATCAAAACCGCGCCCCTCATCATTGCAGGCCCTGGCAATGAAACCCCCTGGAGCAGTGCGGCAGGCACTGGACCTCACAAGCTGCTGAGGCAGCCTGAGTTACACAGCAGGGCAGGGGAGACAGCCTGAGCTAGACAGCTAGAGGGATATAAAGATATCCCTCTAGAAAAAATAGCCCCTCAAATCTCAGAAATATAACAATGCCCTGAAAATTACAGACCCGTGTTTGAACTTACATGAGAGTATGAAAGTGAGAGATTTCTCGATTAAAAACAACGGTGTGCGCTGGCTCACTCACCAACGGCTCTGTCCAGCAAGCCGGGGTAGCCCTGCAGGTAGCCAAGCAGATCGGTGTTGGCCGTCATCTCACACAGGACGTCAAGGAGCCGGATTGTAGCGAGGGCCTCGGGAGGAGAGGAGGAAACACACATGTAAGTCAGGCTAAGTGATCTGACTGCTTTGACCAGCTGTGAGAGAATGAGCTCTCACCGTAAGTATTGAAGTCAGTGCTTCTCACACATCGAAAGAGAGAAACAACTATCAAAACCAAAAGCGAAGCATCAGAAACGGACGCGAACAACCGGCTGCGCTACACGGCCATCGAGAAAGCAAGATCATGTGTCTTATTGGAGCAAAGAACCAGAGCAGCTCTGATCCAAGCAAAAATCCCTTCTAGCAGTGGGTGACTGTTCAAAATTACTAGCTATGTACAGAACATTAATGCAGATCCGTTCTTTTTAAAGCGTTCCCAGCAAGAGTTCTACTTTACAGATACAAATATACCATGAACTACATTAATTTCTTGTCCACAGGAATCCTATAAAACGCTGTGGTGGAAAGAGCATTGGCAACAAGAATCTGCATTATTTCTGGATAAATATAGACCTATATACAATATCTTGGTAAGCTGGAATTTATCGTTTGGAAATGCTAGTTCACATAGCTACTGAAGAGTTGATTGCCAAATAGACTACATGCCCAAGAAAATACCAACTACCAATGACATTGTACTAGAGAGTCAAAATCTTTTAAATATATATATACATACACACACACACACACACACACACACATATATATATTTCTATTGGTTTCAGAGAGAAAGGGAGAGGAAGAGATAGAAACATCAATGGTGAGAAAGACTCATTAATTGGCTGCCTCCTACATGGCCCTACACTAGGGATCAAGGCGGCAACCCAGACATGTGCCCTAACTGAGAATCGAACCATGACTCCTGGTTCATAGGTCGATGTTCAACCACTGAGCCACAACAACTGGGACAAAAATCTTAAAATGCAATTTTTGTATAGATTTTGGGCCTCATTTTTAAAGTGTACATTAGTTGGCAAAATGTAGTAGATGCTATAAATTTAGGTCATAAAGATAATATTCTTTAAAAAAATGTCTTTTGTTAGTTCTAATTGCATTTACTATTCTGTAATTCAGAGATTTAAAATACTATTTGTGTTGCAATCTCAACATAAACAGCAAGAAACAACACACATTTTTAATGCTTGCATTTTAATTTGATTTCATAGCTTCAATTGCTAGTTAAAAAGTTAGGAGGTAATACTGAGATAAGAAGTCTGACATTACACCATGTTTAAAAGACTCCAGCAAATCCGTTAACTGCACGGCTCCAGCTCCCTCTTTGTAAGGTGCGTAGGTGCCCACAGTCATCTCCCAATACCCTTTCTCCTTCAAGAAATGGCTGCCTGGTGCCGGGTGCGGGGCAGATTCATACAGGGTAACCCAGACATCTGCAACACCGGGTGGCAGAGGCGCTAATGAAACTCCTAGGATCAGGTCAGGAGAAACCAGAGCGCCACGAGAGGCCCCGGCAGCAAGCGCGCATTAGAACATGGGAAAGAACCAGGCTGAGATGACGGAGAACAAATCAAGTGGGCATAAAGCCATCTATATATTGGATATATACAATAAAAGCCCAGCGACCTGAACGGCAGAACAACCAGAAAGACCGGAACGACTGGTGGCTATGATGTGCACAGCCTGATCCAGACCCCGATCGGCCCCCAACCCCAGCCAACCTTGCTCCCAATGGGCCCCCAATGGCCAGTCAGGGACGGGACTGGCAGGCCAACTGAAGGCCACATTAACCACCACCATGGAGATCCACTCATCCAAATCCAAACTGTAGAAAATGCCACAGGTCATACAAGCCAACGTCTCCAACAAACAAGGAGCACAGGAGAAAGGAGGAAGAGGGATGGGGCAGGGTAACCTGCACAGGAAAGGAGGTTTGAGATCTATCAACCTACTGCAATGTATGAGGGCCCTTATCTGTACCCCAATTCAAAGACATAAATTTTGGGGGAAAGTAGACAATGGGGATAATGTAAGTACTGTTTGATACTAAAATTTAACATTTTTAAATGTGCTCATTGTACTTCACTTATGAGTGAAGACTCCTTATCTGTTAGAGATGTATTAGGTCTAGTAATAATTAATGTCGTTTTCTAATACTTTTTTAAAATCGAATTTATTTAAACAATACAACAAAATTTAATCAACAATATAGTTGCCGTTGTTTTCTACTACTTGTGCCCAATGCTCAGGAAGCATTTTAATCCCTCTGTTGTAAAATTCTTGTGATTTTGATGCAAAAAAATCGGTCAATGCATTTTTGAGGCATTCTTCATTATTAAATTTTTTTCCAAGAAGAAAGTTTTGCAAAGAACGAAACAAATGGTAATCGGAAGGGGCAATATCAGGAGAATATGCAGGTTGAGGGAGAACTTCCCATTCCAACTGGCGCAGTTTTTCAGCAGTGATTCTTGCAGTATGCGGTCGTGCGTTATCGTGGTGAAGAATTACGCCCTTCCGATTAATCAGCGCGGGTTCTTTTTCTCTTAAAGCTTGGGCTAACGGTCACATGTGTCAAACACAAGGCCCTCGGGCCAAATCCATCCCGCCAGGCCTTGCAATGTGGCCCGCACCACACTGTCATCACTGCACTCCGCTGCATTTTCATCACAATGACAGTTTATGACTGTTCAGTAAACCATTCGGCCCGCAATTTAGGCTGGATTTTAGATTTTGGCCCCTTCTCTGATTGAGTTCGACACCCCTAGGCTAACCTTTCCAATTGGGCACTATACACTGCACTTGTAATGGTTTGGGTAGATGGTAAAAGTTCATAATGAAGAATTCCTTTAAAATTCCACCAAACACACAACATCACTTTTTTCGCATGCAAGTCAGGTTTTGGCGTGGGCTGCGGAGCCTCATTTTTGTCCAACCATTGAGGCCGCTTTTTCAAATTAACATACAGCACCCATTTTTCATCTCCTGTAACAATTTGCTCTAAAAACGGCAAACAGTTTTGACGAGAGGGGAGCGAACTGCAAATTGTGACTCTTTGATTATGGTTGTTGTCGGTCAACTCATGAGGAACCCATTTTCCAAACTTTTGGACTTTGCCAAGTGCACGCAATTGATTGGAAATTGTTTTTTGTGAACAATTTAAAGTTGTCGCAAGCTCTTGTTGGGTAATTTGAGGATTTTGCACCAAAAGAGCTTGAAGAGCTTCTTGATCAAAATTGGACACACGGCCTCGACCACTCTTGTCATCTAACGAAAAATTTCCCTCGCGAAATTTCTCAAACCAACGCTGGCATTTTCTGGCGCTAACTGCATCTTGACCAAGAGCACTACAGATGTTTTTGCAGCCTCACTTGCTTTTCTTCCTAATTGGAACTCGTAAAGCATGCAGTGCCGAATATGCTCTTCATCCGCCATCTTCTTAGCCCTAGTTTTGCAACAAAAACCAAACCAAACACAAACTTTTTCAAGCAAAACTTGTTAATTGCACTTCACACGTTCTGTAGATACCACGTGTTTGAAGGTTATGTCAATACAAGTCAACACCAAGCAAGATTTTTAACGAATGTTTAAAAACGACATTAATTATTACTAGACCCGATATATAAAATTAACTTATGGCCCTAGCCAGTTGGTCAGTGGTTAGAGCGCCAGCCCAAGGACCAAAGGGTCTGGGGTTCAATTCCTGGTTAAGGGCATATACCTCAGAAGTATGCAAAAATATACCAAAAGACAGAAACAGGTATATTAACATCATAATCTAAGACTATTTTTATAAAGGAAGAGATATGGATAAAATCTTAGGATCTTAAAGCCAAAAGAATACGTAATTTAAAAACCAGATGCTATAAAAATGACTGCTTCTTGCCGAAACCGGTTTGTCTCAATGGATAGAGCATCGGCTTGGGAACTGAAAGGTCCCGGGTTCGATTCCAGTCAAGGGCATGTACCTTGGTTGCGGGCATATCCCCAGTAGGGGGTGTGCAAGAGGCAGCTGATGGATGACTCTCTCTCATCGATGTTTCTCACTATCTCTCTCCCTTCCTCTCTGTACAAAATCAATAAAATATATATATATATAAAAGACTGCTTCATTCCGATTTTTTAGACATGAGCAGTTACTGGTTATCTCATTCTTAACTATCACTGGTGGGTAAAGGCAGTGGTCTGCTGGGAAACTGGCCGATTCCCACGCTATAGATACTCCACGAAGGCCGCTCACAAGCTACCCATCAGCTCACAAACCCCGACCCTCAGGCATCGGCGGCAGCCACACCAGCACACCGGTGTGTTTAAACGCTAAGGCAGGGGATCTTGTTAACAACGCCCATAGCTTTTTAAACTTGTAAGTGAAAGGTTACTATTGTATATGTACACTAATATGCACAAGTCATGCATGTAAATGGACCAATACATTATCAAAAAGTGAACTATTGGGGCTTTTCAAACAAAACTCTACAGTTTTCTATCAGTTAACACATTAAGTGGCCTGTCAGTCACCGGTGACTGACACTTTTGATCCAGGAGACAACAGGCTGGCATTTAGCATGTTAATATATAATAATTTCTCCCACTTCAGAGAAAAATCTCTTTGGAAGAAAATGTAAAACTTCCTAAATACAGTTACCTCAGGTCATTGATTACAATATGAACTCATCTACACTACAAATAAAGAGCTAGGAAAGCTTTAGAGCTGAGCTGTAACAAGCACTGAGCTCCTCTCTTCCGTCCTGGAGGTTCTCTAACCGCCTAGAAGCTCAGCTCGCTGCTCCTCCTGCTGGAGCTGCTCCTCCTGCTGGAGCTGCTCCTACCGCTGCAGCTGCTCCTCCTGCTGGAGACACGCAGCTCTGTCTCCAGGAGGGACAGGCGGCCCGGGAGAGCAGTGTCTCTCCCCCCCAATCCCACCAAATGGCACCGCTCACACTGGCTTTCTCAGGGAAAAAGAAATAGATAAAAATAAAGAGACTTTCTAAAGCAGAGAGGAGGGAACGAGAATCAGCGTAAGCTAGCCAAGCAAAGGAAAGCCGGGAAGGACGTAGGTAGAGGCTTGGAGAGTGGCAATGCCTGACGGAGCCAACCAGGTGGTTGTGAACAGGAACCTCCTGCCGTGCCAGAACACGCTCTGGTAGGCAGTTTACAAACGTGCACCCAAAGTTTCAACACGGGGTAACCGCTTCCGCCAGCAGGCCACTCTGCCCAGGGCTGCGCCCGGGTTAACAGCACGGAGATGTGCAAAGATGCTGCTGCACGGAGTCTATAGCTCTCCTACAACCAACGCACACACGGACCCCTCAACGTCCAACTCCCCGTAGCTGGACACGTAAATGCTGATAAATTCTTTACTGAGAGCGCTACACGGGCACTTAAAAAGCCATTAACACAGTATCGTTCATTTAGAAATATTTGCTAAATGCCCACTATGTACATAGTACTGCAAGCTTAGCCAAAACTTCCGTGCACATGGAGCTTACATTCAGAAGAAACAGGAATTTACAAAGAGATGGCACAGAATCATTTCATTTTTAATGTTTGTGTGTACACATGTGTACATAAGCATGAGTCTATTTGATGTTAATATATTTATCAGCTTAGATAAATATATTAACTGGAACTGTTGTCATTAACTCTGAATGGTTGTGAATAAGAATATTGTTTTCCTTTATCTGTATTTTCTTTACTGTTCTAAAATAAGGATGCAGTTTTATCTATTTAATCTGCTCTAACAAAAACAGCATAATCTATCTATATAAAAGGCTAAGTGACCGTCCGACTGGCTGGCTCCTGTAACGTGCACTGACCACCAAAGGACAGACACTCAGTGCAGGAGCTGCCGAGCTGTGGTGACTTGGCAGTGGCAGTTCTCGGGTGACGTACCCCGGGAACCAGAGAGGAGGGAGCCCGATTCCTCTTGGGCTGTGGGTTATGTTGTTTCGGGGGCATTGTTGGCCCAGATCTGGATTACTACTCACTTGTGTGTGCGTTCCACACCCTGTACGACAGCAACTTTGCAGAGTGCCCTCTCACACTCCGAGACCCCTTGGGGGATGTGAGGGGAGAACTGGTTTTGGCCCGATCCCCGCAGGCCAGGCCGAGAAATCCCACCTGCCAGAGGGACCCCGCTCACTCCACAGATGACCTTTGAGCTGCCCCAGGGGAGGCTGGCCGGGAGGGGCCCTGGGAGGTTGGCTCCAGGGCGTGTCCCGCCCATCTTACCCAGTCCTGCCCTGCGGCCACCACCTAGGACTGCTTCACTAGTCCCTGCACTGGAGCCAGCACCGGAGCCAGCAGACCCGAGCGTGAGTTTTCTTTTTCTCCTCCCCCCTCACCCCACGCAGATGCCCTTCAAGCCTCAGCGCTGCCCGAGAATTCTAATTAATTCCCTTTCAATGTGCACGAATCCGTGCACCGGGCCAGGAGTATGGCTTATAAATGAGGGAAATTTATTTCTCACAGTCCTGGGTATTGTATGTCCAAGATCAGGTGCTGGCATGGCTGGTTTGGGGAGGAAGTCTTGTGGGTTGCAGACTGCCGGCTTCCTGCTATGCCCTCACGTGGTGGGAGGGGTGAGGGGTCTTTCTGGGCACTAACCCTATCCATAAGAGCTCCATCATGACATGATCACGTGCCAAAGCCCCACCTCCTGACACTATCAACTCTGTCATTAGGTTTCCAGCCTGTGAAGGGGGAGGACTGTGACATTATGTGGAAGATTCTCCTCGGGGACCCGTGGAGGGAAGTCTGCCTCTCACCTCGTCGTCGTCATGCTGCCCGTCAGTCAGCTTCAGCACCACCCGGCACTGGTCCACGAAGGTGCTGGCCACGAGCTCGGCGTGGCCCAGCAGCGCAGTCGTGTCATCCTTGGTCAGAGGCTCCTCGCCCGCCAGTTTGGCTATTAGGACGTCCAAGAGGGTGACCCTGTGAAGCAAAGACTTTACAGGAACACGCAATACCGGGACGCCCCAGCGTTGAGAGTACCTAGAGACTGCTGTCAGAGAACATTTTACTCTTTAACTTCCCGTACTCTGCTTATAGCGTCCAGCTGGGGAAACAAGATTTGTGAATAAAATTAACCCTCAACAATCATCTGTTTTTTTTTAAAAAATCTTGATTTCTTTGATATGGTGAGGCTACAGAAATGCGCCTTTTATAGCATTACTTGGAGCTCTAAAATAATTCCAACTTCAGCATTGCTGCCAGTTTTCTGGTACATCAATAACAATAACAATAGCAGAGTTAAATGGGCAACATGCACTACTTATTTTTTTAATTTTTTCAGAAAATATATACTCATTCTCTTGAGTGATCAGAACTATAAAACCAACACTCACTACTCACTACAGCAAAGCGCTCCCACCCCGTTCTCACTTGGTGCACACCGAGCTGCGAGGCAGGCCCCTCAAGCACGGGGAGAGGCTCATGCAGGCAACATGCCCAGGGCCCCACCCTGGGAGCCATGGCTCCGCTCCTGGGTCCGAGGCCTCAGCTCTCATTCTACTGTCTTTCTTGGGAAGGCTGGCTTTTTTTGTTGGTTTCATCCTTTTAGTTTACAAAAACATCAATCTGAAACCCAACCTATGTCATTTTTTACATTAGTATTTAAATTATCAATAAATATTTTTATTCAACCACCTTTTTTCTTTTTCCTAGAAAAAAACAAATCATACACAGGGCAATCTATCAGCATAAACCAAGTATGTTCCTCAAAGCCCTCTTCTGCCAGGGATTCTGTGTGCAAGTCTTTATTTCTGCACCAGCCCGTTCCGTTACTCCGAGGTGGCCAGATGGGTCTCGAAGTGTGCTGGCTGGCCAACTTGCTTCCACGTGTGTACACGTGCCACTCGGAGGGCATGAGGGACAGAAGGACAAACCTCACAGCAGGACATTTATGGCTGATGTGTCTTGAAAACCAAGTTCGCAGCAGCTAGAAATCTGGCTGAGGCCGTGTAACTACCTGTCGTATGAACTTCAGACCCACCTCCCGCCAACCTGCCTCCCCACGGAGCGAAGGCGAGGCTGACTCGGGTCTCCATTCACTCACGGAGCTAGCAGCAGCTGTCTGGTTATGACGTCTAAGCCACCACGGCTGACACATCGGTGTTGGAGAAATACAATACATGGTATTCAGGAGAAATAAGCCGCCGACGAGAGAATGACAATCTTGTCGTAAAGGTACCACCTTCCAATGTTCTCGGACAGAGCACTGCTGGGTGTCTTTTACGTTTTTACATACAGCACCAATGTTACCCTAGCCCCATGGTCGGCAAACTGCAGCTCCAGAGCCACTTGCGGCTCCTTAGCCCCTCAAGTGTGGCTCTTCCACAAAATCCCACGACCTGGGCGAGTCTATTCTGAAGAAGTGGTGTTAGAAGAAGTTAAAGTTTAAAAAATTGGGCCCTCAAAAGAAATTTCAATCGTATTGTTGATATTTGGCTCTGTTGACCAATGAGTTTGCCGACTACTGGCCTAGCCAATGGCCTTCCGGAGGCAGCACAGGGCAGTGTTACTAAGACCGACTCCAGAGCCAAGCAGCTACCCCCTGCAGTGAGGCCCCCTGAGGCTTGGACAAGCCACTAAGCAACCTCTCTCCGTGTGTGTGTGTGTGTGTGTGTGTGTGTGTGTGTGTGTGCACCTGCCACGCAGGACAACGGGCGAGCCAGCCTCCGAGCTGACCGTGCCTGCGCTGCCCCGGTGGTACTGGCGACAGGGCCTGACTCACCTAACAGGAGCTGCTTACAGATTCGGAGTAGAAAAAACTGTACATGCTTTCCCTGACCACGTATTCATAGTAAAAGCAAGGACACCCCATAATGCCAAGTGCAGACAAGAGGGGAGGGGGACTCTTAGTGGCATTTGCAGATTTAGGTCATTAGGGGCTAAATGTCTGACACACCTTCTTATGTAAACAAGCTTTTTGGTAAGAGCCAGGGCTCCTCCCAAACGCCACCCCCCACTCGCTGGGCCTGGGGGCGGTAACGGGGTGTCAGCCACAGAGGCAATGCCCCCTGAAGAGTGAGGCAGCGCCGCAGAGACCAGGTTCTCTCTCGCACCCTCACCAGCTGCTAGAACCCCTCCTGAGTAAGCAAACCCCCCAACACTCAGGCTGTCATTCGAACCGTGTTCTGCACCTGTCTGTGCCGGGCAGCGTGGAGCAGAAACTGACGTGCAGGAGGGAAGCAGAGGCTACTCTGTCATATAAATAAAAAGGAGTGCTTGGTCTGTCCTCCTCACTTGCTTAGCTAATGATTAGGTGAAAAACAGATTACTTGATAGCAAGGCAAAAAATACAAATGTGAACATTAAATCACAATTGAACTATGGATTCGTGTACTCGTGTGTTCCTTACTGCAAAGCAATAACTAATTTCTAGCAGTGCTCATCAAGTTACTTATTTTAGGTTAAAAAAAACCACAAATAATTCTCTTTCAGGAATAAACATACATATGTGGCAGTAACAAGAATCATGGATTTATAAACATGGCATTTAAACTCACTTTATGAGCATGAACTTTTCTTTTTTGTTAACGACATTAAAGAAAAATCACTACTTAACACGGCTCCAAAGGAGTGCATAAAGCTTAATGCTAGACCCAAACTCACAGGCAAACTTCCAAAACCACAGCAAGTATAAAAACTGTGACTACAACCAAGAGAGTAACGTTTTTCAAGTTTTTAACCATTATATCAGTTTCTGATCATCAGATTTCTCAGTAAGTTTTATTTTCCTAAGGCAGCATTTCCAATAAGGTTTGGAAAAACACATCCTATTGGAATGGAAAGAGAACTGTGAATCACTGTGTTTAATCCTCTAATTTTATAGGTCAGGGAACCGAATCCAAACATGATAAAAACCTGACCACAGGCACACAGGATTGCTATGGCCAGGCAGGCAGGGGCAGCTCGCTCTCGGGGCACTCTCTGTTCTGCCCTGCAACAGAGATGGCAGCCGGGCACCGGCTTCCTGGGTCTGAATTACCAACCGGCAACTGCCCCCTGGGAGAGTGTGCCCCAAACTGCCGTGTCAGTGAGGAGGACAGTGTGCGCCCTTCGCACACACAGCGCCAGCATCTGGCTGTGAGTTCCCAGGGAAAGCCCGGCGCAAGCACAACCTTTGCCCTGACAGCTTTGAACATGGCTCCCGGACAATGGCGCCAACCTGGCTTCGGCAGCCCGAGCTCACCACTGCCTGCTGTGGCCAGGCTGTAATGTTAACCAGCCAATTTAAAACCATTACTGACACAGAAACATGTATTTAGAGATGCTGTGCCAACTAAGAAACCACACCGTTTTCAGCCATGTGTACAGGATACCCTATATGGAATGCTAAAGACTCAAAACCACACTGGCTTTGGGGTTACCTTTCTTGATTGCTCATTTTGGCATACATGGCTCTCACCAATTCCGGACTTTTCAGAAAATGGTCTGTAATAATCAAGAACCTAAGAAAAAAGGAGAAAAACGTTTGGTTACCAAAACATAGTCAAACAGACACGGCCTTATCAACATGATAGGCATCTCTTATACATAAAAGCACTCCTTTTCACTGAATTCGGACTAGCTGTCATCTTAAGATGTGTTCAGAGGTTCACATACTATTTTCTATTAGCAGCTAAAGGAAAATTAAAGCTCTCAAAGTCTTTCTCTCCAGTTTTATTTCTGAGACGTTTACTGAGCCGATCCCGCTTTGCCAGCTGGGAGCAGGCCTGCTCGCATTTGTCAACGCTGAGGCAGGAAGACACTTCACCGGAGGCAAACAGTGAATGGATCTAGCTACACGCTCAGGAATAGGCAGAAAACATTTAGCTGTTTTAGCCAGAAGCTCAGTGTTAACAGAACCGAGAAGTAGCACATGCCAGAAGTAGCGCAGCAGCGACATTGGCTCCCTTATCTCCTCGGGGAAGGCGCTCAGGTTACCAAGAAAACATCCTCACTGCCAGGCCGCGCGAACCCCAACTCAGAGATCAATGTGCTCAGCCCCGGGCACAGATTAGAAGCATATTCTTCAAAGTGCCACTGTGACAGCTCCAAGACGGAGCGGCTTATTAATGAGTTCTGAGTCGTAGTTGCCAGAGGGCATCTGAAGACTGAAGAACTGAAGAACACACTGTCTATTCCAAGGCCAGAGCAATCCAAGTGGCTATTAGACAGTCAATATATTTACAGTCATAGTTCATTGAACTCCTTCTTAACAAATAAAGCATGGCTCTCAGAGGATAGCAGGATGAAGCACATCAGCTACCACCGCACGCTGTCACTTCCCACAAAAAGGAAACCCAGACACCTGCTCTGCTCCTCCGCAGTCCACACGGCAATGGGGAGGCAGTGCTCTGGCCGCCACCGGAAATGGCCGTGTGAGTGGCTATCAACTCTGCGGAAGTTTTCCTGTGGCAGATGCTCAGATTCTTCTTCTAAATATAATACATGCACTCTCCTTGCCAGGGTGCCGCATAAATTCTCTATTTTCAGTCAAAATTCAATGCCTTTACTTTCTTTTCTTTTTTTAATATATTTTATTGATTTTTTACAGAGAGGAAGGGAGAGAGAGAGCTAGAAACGTCGATGAGAGAGAAACATCGACAAGCTGCCTCTTGCACATCCCCCACCGGGGATGTGCCTGCAACCAATGTACATGCCCTTGACCTGAATCGAACCTGGGGCCTTTCAGTCCGCAGACCGACGCTCTACCGCTGAGCCAAACCGGTTTCGGCTGCCTTTACTTTCTTACCAAATACCGACTCCAGAGAAACCACAGGTGTGAACTTTCACAACAGAGACTCAATCACGCTCCATCTTTGCCAATCACACACTTTAACTTGTGATTAATTTTCTGCAGAACTATTTCTGTAAATGCAGAAGTGTGGTGGGATTCTGTCACAGGAGGCAGGGTCCCACTAATCTACAACCCAACATGTGAAGGACCACTCTCAGAGACTGTGAGGAAGGCTCCGGTCGTCCTCCACGTCTGTGCAGTCAGAGGAGGACAAACCGCCTCGGGGAGGGTCACAAACACATCCTCTCCACGAGGCAGAAGTCTGAGCGGAAGGGGCACCGAGAATCCATCTTTATTTCACAAACAGAAAAAGCCAGAACTCCCCCCTCAGGTCCGCTGCCGGTGCTTTGGGGCCTGCTTTCCCTCCCACCAGAGTGGACCTCCTGGCAGATGGAGGCAGAGCGCAGTGAAATAGGGAAAGACCTCACTGAAATGTAATTACAGACACCAGTGTTCACAAAGCAACTTGTTGATGGCACAGCACTGACCACAGTTTTACAGTTTCCACCCTGGCTGCCAGCCAAAGCGCATGCAGGTCCCTCCCTCCTCCCTCATCTCTCCTGTTTGTAACTGATTCTGAAGTATGAGACCAGCTACAAAGAGATGGACCACAGTCCGCGCTCGGTGCTGACAACCCGGTAGAAAGCGGCTAGGCCAGCTGTCCATCGGGGGCACAGGAAAGGACCAGGGACAGTGACTCTGTCATTGAGGAGGTCACCCTAAAGTCAGCGTTTGAGGAAATTTTCTGAAAATGAGAGCCACTTGTCGCCATTTCCATACACAAGTCTACAATGTCAAAGCTTACTGTAACATATATAAATCCATTTCATTGACTGCAAAAAGCCTAGAAAATGCTCGCACCACTCACTGGCTGAACAAGGATCTGATGTAAACACGCTCTTGGAAACGAATGCCGCCCTCTGCTGCTTTGGGACCCGGGAACTCCCCACAGCGGCTCCCCAGCCACCGGGCGAAGCTGCCAGCGCTGCCACACACTCAGCCCCCGCTCCCGGTGACATTTCAGGGCTCCCAGAAGCACCCACACACAGCGCCCATCAGCCCAACGGCCCGGGCAGAGCTCCCTCTGACAGGCTGGCACCGGCTGGGCCCGAGTGCCGCCGGGCAAGGCCGGCGCCGGCCGTTCTCCCGCACACGCGTGTTTCTGCCCCCCTCTCCCGCCTCCCGAGAGAAGCAGACACTGTAGAGAGCTGGGCCTCGGTCTCAGTCCTCGCCCCCGGCAGCGGCCACTGGACACGGGACCCACCTCTCAGCGCACAGCGTCCTGTTTCTCCAGCTGCGAGTAACCACCTCAGAATGCAGCCCAGCCAAGTAAGAGGAAGGAAACACTGCACTTCGAAAGCAGAGCAATGAAAACGATTCACGCAGGAGACACTGACTGAGTCCTGGTGGGTGTCTGCCATCCCCCTCATGTCCCTCACCTGCTTCAGATAACGAACTTCCTTTCAAGACAGACCCACACCTGCCAGCGGGGCGCAGGCACAGCTCCGAAAGCTCCCCGGAGTGAGCACGGGCCCCGCTGGACAAAGGCGGACCGGCACAGGACAGGAGCCTGAAGCGCCACGCGCACCCTCACAGACTGCGGGCTAGCCTCCTGCTGGAGATTCCCTCCTTAACCCCACACTTCTCAGCACGTGCGCCAGCCAGGCGACAAAGAAAGGTTTTCACTTACACCCTAAAGGATTCCAGCTTTCACAGAAACATGTGCACACAAACCACCCCAAGTTGCATTCCACATGCGACTCCAGGTCAGAGCTGCGTGCAGACGCCGTGAGAAGCACAGACTGCGGGGCAGCGTCCACAGCCGTGCGCGCACGGGGACCACACAGGGCTCCAGGGAGGGCCAGCTCGGTCCTCTGGGTGACTCTCGGTGGCACGAGAAGCAGACAAGCCTGAGGCCCCTGGAGGCCAAGGACACCACCATCACCAACTCGTCCCACAAGCACGACACAGCAGCGCTTCTCCCAGAGAGCCTGGCGCTCACCCTGGGAGACCATGGGGCCAAGTCTCTGCCCCTCCGTCTGCCGTGGTGGCGTGAAAGCAGCCAGAGGCAATGAAGACACAAGCTAATGAGTACGGCTGTGTGCTGAGAGGAATATTTATAAACGCAGTTCCTGCCACTGCACGCAGGGGAGGAGCACACCACTCAGAGGAGGAGCCCGCCACTCAGAGGAGGAGCCCGCCACTCAGAGGAGGAGCACACCACGCAGGGGAGGAGCCCGCCACTCAGAGGAGGAGCACACCACGCAGGGGAGGAGCACGCCACTCAGAGGAGGAGCACGCCACGCAGGGGAGGAGCACGCCACTCAGAGGAGGAGCACACCACGCAGGGGAGGAGCACGCCACTCAGAGGAGTAGCACAGAGGGAGGGCAGGTGTCAGGATTCAGGAGAGAACAAACTCAGGCAGTTCACAGAGAAGCAGCGAGAGAAGCGGGAAGTAAGGAGCGGGGAGATAAAACGGCCGGAAGTACAATGAGCTCAGCCCGGAGCGGACACGGCAGTTACTCCCACGTATCCTGGTGCTGGAGCCCCAGAGGGTCTCCCGAAGCCCCTGGTGTGGCTGGGCGGCAGGAAGTCAGAGCAGGTCCCGCAGCCTCTGTCTCCAGGAGGCGCTGCCGAGCAGAGGCTGTGAAGCAGGGACCTTGGCAGAGGGCCGGTGCGTGCAGCGGGAGCAGGAAGAGAGGCAAGACCAATGCTCAGGTTCGGCCTCAGCACTCAGCACGAGGTGGAAAGGGAGGGGGGTCTCAGAACCAGTGAGGACGGGAGCAATGGCAGCTCTGAGGGAGGGACTGAGGTCTCCCTGGGTGTGAGACATCGCTACAGGCAAGCCAGGGGAAGGAGCTCTGGCCAGAGGTCAAGGCCAGACACGTACATTTGGAAAATATCGACTCAGAAAGGAATCTTAAGCTGTGGCACTAGGCAAGGTCGCCCGGGAATGAGCATGACAGAGAAGGCGGCTGAAGATGGCCGCGGGCCATGCCATCTTCGGGCCGATAAAGAACAGGCGCTAGCTCGCAATGCGGGCGGCATGGCGCCTGAGAGTGACAGGGCAGAGGAAGGGGAGACAACAAGCCCGCACTGCCGGTCTGGCAGCCCCGCGCCCACTGTGCCTACAAAGCCGGAGACTCCAGGGCGGTCCCGGGTACAAGCGGCGAGTTCCCTCTGCGCATTGCCATCTGAGCTGGACTCAGAAGCCTCAGGACCAGGCTCAGGCCTGTCCCAGGCCAGGCGTCATTCCACTGAGGCTGCCAGAACCCACCGCGCTGCGTCCTGCCATAGGTGCTCCCGGCCTCCCGGCCAGGGGCACCGCTCTGAGAGGAGTGCGCAGGAGAACAGAAGAGGGGCAGCGGAGTCCAACCTCGACGGGGAAGATAATTACATTTATCTCCCTAATAGCTTTATAGCGAAGGAAATAGTGAAATTTATGTCCGAAAGGCAAGAAATATCCCTTGAGCCAAGGAGATAGCAATCTGGGAGTGGAACTCTGTCATGCAAAATAAATCAACTAGATAACCCAAATATGACCCAAAAGTAATCCTCCACTCTCTTATAAATTCATGTTTGTGGTGACACCACAGGTTCAACAGAAAGGGAGTTTGTTCTGAAAAAGGCCAAACTGGAGAGCTCATCACTCACCTTTCAACTCAGCCTCCTCCCAAGCCGCTCCTCCCAACGGCGCTGGCACAGCCAGGAAGCGCGGGCCCGACACGCACCTGCGTGAGCCTCGGGCTCTCATCTGTCCGTGGGGGCAAAATAATTCCCAGATGGCAGCGACAGGAAAACAAGACCCGACACACCACGCTCTCCACTCCACAATGCCACCCTGACCCCCTCCCCCTACTACCCTGTTTCCCCGAAAATAAGACAGTGTCTTATATTAATTTTTTCTCCCAAAGTTGTGCTAGGTCTTATTTTCAGGGGATGTCTTATCTTTCCATGCGCTAGGTCTTATTTTCGAAGGATGTCTTATTTTCGGGGAAACACGGTAGTAACGCACATTGGTGGGCTGTCAGGTCTAGATAGATTCAAAGGCCAAGCTTCAAGCCTCGGACTGACTCATCCCGGGCTGCCTGCGCATAAGCACATCTTTCACACCAACAAGCAGAGAGAGCAGCATTGCTAGAGGAGGAGCACGCCACGCAGCAATAATTATTACTATCCCAATCATTCAACTGGGAGTGCCGAGGCCTCTTCCCTCCGCTCCTGTGTGAACCCAAACAAAAAGACCCCCGATTACTGAAACCGTACATTTGTCCTTTTCCAAGAAAAGATACTAAGCCTATGAGTTCTAACGCATGTCCTTTTGTGCTCCCTGTAAAACACCACTCTCAGAATTTTAAAATTAGGTATAACTTCAATACAACAGCGACAATTGTACTCAAGAGGCCCAAACTGGGCGAGTTCATGCCTGTGGATGTTCTTGCATGCTGCGGGGTGGGAGGACAAAAAGGAGTTTTTTCTCCTAACATCCAGGGCTGGGCTCATACTGAGCGGTGAAAGTAGCCATCCTGCTGGACATCTCTGGGTACCTGTGGCCCCGTTTTGTTTACCGAATACAGAGTTCCGCTCACGTCAGTCAGAGACCATACAGCAGACAGCTAGCTACCATTGCCCACCCTCCTTGTCTCAGCCCCGCTAGTGACTTTTCATAACTCTAACTGGAACTGTCCTGAAGTAGATCTTACATTCTGCCATTTAAGATCTTTCCCCCTTTATTCCATGCTGCTAAAAAATTACAGATGGTTAAAATGTAGATTGCCCTGGTCAGTGGGGCTCAACTGGTTAAGTGTCGTCCCATGCACCAAGAAGTCGCTGGTTTGATTCCGGTCATGCCAGGGTTGCAGGCTCCATCCTCCATGGGAGCACGTAGGAGGGCAGCCGATCTATATTTCTCTCTGTCTCTTTCCCTCTCTTTCTCCCTCTCCCTTCCTCTCTAAAATCAATAAAAAATATATTTAAAAATATTTACATAAAATATAGATCCAAGATACTTACCAGATAAAACAGAATTAGACTACAGAAAATGTCTCTTAATAACCTGACTAATGATTCCCTGTCATGTGAAAACACCTGCGTGACTGAGGGAGGTTTTCGAAGTCCAGTACAATAACAATTATCTATGAACCAACTTCTGTTTGTGTGCAAGTGGCAATGCAAATAAATGCCCATACAGAGAAATTATTTTACAATGCCGTACACCTTCAACAGAACAGTAATGTTCATACTTAAAGAGGCCAAACTGGGAAAGTTCATGCTTGGGAAATGCAAGTGGGATGGCTGGCAGCTCGAGGCTCCGACGCAAGACAAACTGATCCACTATGTGGAAAACAGATTTTAAAGAAAACAGGACACTAATAAAGAAAAACAACGAAATGTCTGATGAGTTTATGATGATGCAAGAGCCCATTCCTCAGAAGACATAGCAATTACAGACTTTATAGCAATTATGGACCTGCTGCCACAGGCTGAGTGAGTGAAGCACACCAGACAGAACTGAGGAGAAGCAGCAATCCTTCAGCAATGAGTAACACACAGCGGACAGTCAGGGCACAGCAGACAGAACACTGAGCCACCAGACCTAGCGGAGCGCTGAGCCAACACCATCAGAAACGACACGTGCTCTTCTCAAACACGGAGCATCCTCCACGACAGGCCCAGTGTGGGCCATGAAACAAGCCTCCGTATATTTAACTGAATGAAATGACATTGAGCGTGCTCACCGACCACCAGTGTGACAGGACAGTGAGTCTCTCTCTGAGCGCTGCCCACAGGGCCCGTCCTGGCCTCTGACCTTCAAGGGAGCACCCACTGCAGCACAGCCGTCTGACCACACGCTCCGCAGCAGCTGCGGTTTGCACGTGGCGTTGCTTCACAGACTGAGTGCCCTCCCCCTCCTCACCCCTTAAAAACTTGTCACCCCTCAAGGACCTGCTCAAACCTCACTCTCCTCTCACAAAGCCTCTGGCGGCTGCTGAGGAACTTCTCTTCTTTTGTCAACATGTGTCATTTTAACTTACTGTCCAATTACTGTAATTCAAATTTTTACTTAAAATCTCCATTAGGAAAGTGATCTGTCAGAATGTTCCTAAGCAATCTAATTCCTAAAATGATACTCACGGCCATTCTGATTCAGGCTGCTTTTGGTGAATTTCTATGACATCGATTGCAATATTGAGGTTTTCTTCCAGTTCTTTCATTCTTTCAGAATTAAGGGATGTGAACAAAATCATTGAACAGTAGGCAACAATTTTTTTGTCTGGATGATTTAAGCAAGACCTTCCAAATAAAGAAATGAAAGTGTTAGCCCAATTTAACATGATAAAATACGATTGAGCAAATAAACAATAACAATCTCAATAACAGCCGAAACCGGTGTGGCTCAGTGGTAGAGCATCGGTCTGCGGACTGAAAGGTCCCGAGTTCGATTCCGGTCAAGGGCATGTACCTTGGTTGCGGGCACATCCCTGGTGGGGGGTGTGCAAGAGGCAGCTGGTCGATGTTTCTCTCTCATCGATGTTTCTAGCCCTCTATCTCTCTCCCTTCCTCTCTGTGAAAAATCAATAAAATATATTTTTAAAAAACCAATCTCAATAACAAATTCAGTACATACTGAATTTTTAAGAATTTAATAAAGAATTACAACACTTTGAAACAAGTACATTATTTACTGCAGAAAAGGCCAATGTAAAATTAATCTCAACTTAAGTATCCATTAGCGGCCATGAAGAACACACTGTCTAAGGGGAAGGTGGTCTATGGCAAGAAATGAAATGTGGATCCAGAGCCTCACTGTACGCCCTGGTTCATCGGCCGTGATCCTAGGAAGGTCTCAATTTCGCTCTCGTCAATTACGTCATGGGTCATGCCTGTGGCAGAATTTTATTTTTTCATTTAAACTTTATAAGAGCCTTCTGGAGAAATTATTAGCGTTATACTTCTGTAACATGAGTCCCACAATTCTTTCTTTCCATCTAAGCTCAATTACAATATTATTAATCATACAGATAAGAGATATATATGCCTTCTACTCTATCGATACTATCTTTGAGTGACAGTTATACTCAGAGCACCATAACTCTACAAGTGATCCAGAAACATGTACGCAGCTAGGGAAGGATTTAGGCAGCGAGGAGGTTACGTCTATCAGGGCTGAGCTCCAGTTCCCGCATCTGCCCAAACACGGACAGACGTGCCCCGGGGCTGGGCACAGCAGCCCCGGGCACAGGAATAGCAGCTGGCCGCTTCCGTGTCGCCACACCGAAGTCGCCCCACTCAGAGCAGCACAGCTGGGATGAGGACCAGGCCGACTCCCAGACATGCTCTTCCTCTCCCTTCCTCCCAGCACTGCTCCCCTTTGTAGCAGCGTTCCACTGTGGTGAACTAACGGAGCTGCTCACGCAGAGGGAAGGTCACCCAGAAGTACCCAACCACACTGGGGGCGGGCGGAGTCCACACTGCGTTCTCCACACCGGCCAGCCTGACTGCGCACACAGGAAGTGCTCAGTGCACACATGAGTGATGACCCGCTGCCCACAGCTCAGTGTTTTATGGCCTTTTCTTGTAAATTACAGTATCCGCTAAGGACAGTATTTCTCATTTTAACCAAACTTTTAATTTCTTAAAGTGAAACTGACATACAACAAAAGACACAAATCAAAATTTTAAACGGAATGAATACAGCCACGCAGCTGCCTGATGAGGATGCAGAACGTCTGCGAAGCCCAGAGACTGGCTCGGTTCAAATGAGGATAATGAACCCAAACCACTATCCTCATTTCTATGAGCAAAGGTTCGTTTTTCCTGCTTTCGAGCTTCATGTAAATGGAATGATATAACCACAATTTTCTCAGAAATTAGAAAAACTCAGCAATATACTCACAGGAAGAGTTCCGGGAAAGCATGCACCCACACGATGGCCTGGGACGCTTCATTCCGTGAGGCAATGTTGCCTAAGAACTGCAGGCCACAGCGGAAAGCTGAGGATTTGAGAGTGAAAAAGATGTATGATTTTTAAAAATTTTAACATAAAGAATAAATTCATCTTAACAAGAAATATTCCCAACGTTTTTACATAAGAAGTTTCTGTTAGCTTCTTTTAACTATGAAGGTCTCTGGCCCAGGAAACGGCACATGACCCTAACATTAAATGCCTTATCAAAACAATTGCTATACAAAGTTAACTAACTTCTGGAAAAGATTATAAATATTATATAAACACATACACCTGTAATTACATTAACTATGGGATATGTGCTCCAATTTTTTAAAAGTTACTCTTAGACTAGAGTTTTTATAAAGCATGGTAAAAGAAAAAAAAAAAGAAAAAGATACACTAGGCAAATACCATCCTAAAGAACATCACAGACCATATAAAATCAGACATAATAAACCTTAAGGCTAATGCTTACGGCAAAAAGCATTACTGAAGATTTTTATTAAGTCATTTCAGAATGAGTTAATTCACCAGGAAGATATAACAATTTTAAATCGAAATGACCTAATAACATGGCCTCAAATATGTAAGTAAAAGAAAGATTGACAAAATATAGAGAAAAATCCACAATTAAATTGGGCAATTGTAATACAAACAAAAACATCAGTATGTGTAAAAGAAATGAACATGGTTTATTGACAACCTTGCTGATGAGTTTGAATATTTTATCAAATAAAAGTGCAGAATGCCGCACGAAGTCTAGAATGCTGACGACGGTGCTGGTGAGAACGGATCAGCAGGCACTCCCCTTCGGTGCTCTGGGGAGATGTACACGGTGCAACCGCTTGGGGACAGTTTGGTGATTTCTTACTAAACAAAACATAATCTTAGCATGCGATCCAGCAATCTGCTCCTCGGCATTGGCCTAAGGGAACTGAAAGCTTATGTCCCACAAAGCCTGCACACCAATGTTTATAGCAGCTTTCTCCGTAACTGCCCAACTGGGAAGCTGCCCAGGTATCTTCATAGGTGACCTGATGAGCGATGTTCCATCCGACAGTGGAACAGCATGAGAGCTAAAAAGGAATGAGCTATCGGGCCGAGGAAACATCACTGCATGTGACTCCATGATGAAGCCCATACATGCATCGTGTATGTTCCAACTACATCACGTTCCGGAAAAGGCAAAACGATTAACACGGTGAAATGATCAGCGGATGCCAGGGGCTCAGGGAGGGAGGGAGGAGTAGGTGGGAAATAGAAGACTTCAGGGCAGTGACACTATCCTTTATCACACCACTAAAGGCCCGGTGCACGAAATTCATACACGGAAGGATGGGGAAGGGGGTCTCCTCAGCCCAACCTGCACCCTTTCCAATCCGGGACCCCTTGGGGGATGTCCGACTGCAGGTTTAGGTCCGATCCTAACTACCCCCTGGGCGGCCTGGCCCCCCTCCTGCTTTCTGGGTTACCCCCAACTGCCCTCCCCACCCCCCTGCCAGCCTGGTCACCGCTAACTGCACCTCTTGCCCCTGCCAGCCTGGTCACCCCCAACTATGCCCCCTGCTGGCCTGGTCACCTCCAACTATCCCCCCTGCTGGCCTGGTCACCTCCAACTGCCCCCTTGCCAGCCTGGTCACCCCTCATGGCCCACCCGCCAGCCTGGTCATCCCAGGCAGCCTGCTGTTCAGTCATTTGGTTGTCCTTCACTATCCCCCTGATGGCCTGGTTGCCCCACACAGCCTGCTTGTTCAGTCTCTGATCGTCCCTCACTAACCCCCCCTGCTGGCCTGGTCATAGGCAGTCATCTTGTGAGGGTCTGATGGTCAATTTGCATATTGCCTCTTTATTATATAGGCACGTACATATCATGACACATTTGTCCCCACCCGCAGAATGTACTGCACCCAGAGCGAACCGAAAGTAAACCATGGACTCCAGACTCCAGGTGACATGATATGTCACTGGAAGCTCATCAACTGTAACAAATGAACAACTACTCTGGTGCCAGATGTTGGTGGAAAAGGCTGTGCAAGTGTGGGGGCAAGAAACACATGAGAAATCTCTGTACCTTCTCTATTCTGCTGTGAACCTAAAACTGCTCTGAAAGATAAAACTTTATTTAAAAGAAAGAATAACAGTAAATAAAACTATTTAGTGACACACGAAAAAAGACAGCTTGAGTTCGATTCCCAACTCTCAGTGTGAGCCTGCACAAGTTACTTAACTTTCTCAGATGCATGTCCTCACCAGCGGATGGTGCTAACAGAGCTACTGTAGGTATGAGCTGTGAGCTCACCAAGTGCTGAGCGTGTAGTAGGGAGCACACTAAATGCTCACCTGGCCACCCTCTCTACCTGCACATAATACACGTGACAAACGGCTTAAAAGGTCAGATTTTCAAAATTGAAATTAAAACATGTTTTGGTCTATAGTCAGACTCTCAATGGAACCCTTGAGTACTTGGTGTGTAAATCCTTATAAGAATCTTACTGCTGAGACAGGTATGTTTATACTCATTAGAGAGCACGAGAAACCAAGACCCTCACAAGTGATCAGTAACTTGATCAAGTCACACAATTAATTATGAAGAATCAATTCTGGATGAACCCCTGTGATTCCAGCAACCCAATATGGTCTGAGTGTTACCTCAAGCTTATCAGAAGCTCCTAAACTACTTCGTAGTTATAAATGAATTTAATTAACAAAAAGGGAATTTAAAAATCTGCAGTATATGTAGTCTTCCCAAGGATATCTGCATGCTGGACAGAGGAAATGACAACCTCAACACATTTAAAGAACTAATACATGGACAATGCTCACTGTAAACTAAAAATAAAACCCCCAAAGAATTAAAACACCTCATAGTTTAAAACTAAGAGAGATAGTTCTAAATAACCCAAAGGGACAAAAAAGAAATCATAATGCAAATAAAATATTTGAAACAGAATGTTAACAAAAATACTACACTAAAACTTTTAAGATGCAACTAAAACGGAGAAGGGCAATTTGTAGCTTTAAAATGCATAAGCTGGGAAAGATAAGCAATGAAGATAAATAAGCTAAGTAAGTATTCTTCTCCAAAAACTAGAAAATAGCAAAATAACACCCCAAAATGAAGAAAATTAAAGATAAGAGAAAGAAATTATTAAAATTGAAAACAATAAAAAAGAAGACAATATCAACAAACCCAAAACTGACTTCATCAGGAAGCTCAATGTGACCAGCCTTTGGGAAGACTGATCAAAGAAGAGAAAGGGCACAGATAACAGAGAAAACTTTTCAGAAATGAAAAGGAGGAATCAGCCGAAGCTGGTTTGGCTCAGTGGTAGAGCGTCAGTCTGCGGACTGAAAGGTCCCAAGTTCGATTCCGGTCAAGGGCATCATTGGTTGTGGGCACATCCCCAGTAAGGGGGTATACAAGAGGCAGCTGGTCGATGTTTCCCTCCTATCGATGTTTCTAACTCTATATCTCTCTCCCTTTCTCTCTGTAAAAAATCAATAAAATATATTTAAAAAAAAATAAAAAAAGGAGGATGCTGCCATAGATCTTGCAACATAAAAAGAAGAAAATCATAAGATTATTACAAATAATATCTGAATATCTTAAATAATATTTGGCCAAAGTATTTGAAAATGTAAATAACATAACCAAGACCCGAGAACATAACTAACAAAAACTAACTCGGTAAGAAATTCCGTAAAATATTCAGGAAAAACCTGAAGAGTCCTCTAACCATTAAGGAAATTGAATCAGTAGTCAAATATTTTCCCAAAAAGAAAACCCCAGACCAGACTGTGGCCAGTTCACATTCAAGGAGAGCAATTCCAGTCCACACAGCTCTTCAGAGAACGCTTACAGAAAGCGGGCGGAGGCTCCACGCCAGCCTTCTGAGCCAGCGGAACTGCGACCCCATCAGAACGAGGACAGTATCAACAAGGGAACCAACACCCGGAGCTGACCAAAGGGCTCCAGAAACAAGTCACATGACCGACATGTATTCCTGCCTTAAAGGCTGCTTTAACATTAGAAATCCAAGTTTATAACTGACCACGTTAACTGTGAAGGACAAAATCATCTGATCATCTCAGATACTGAGGACAACAGATTGGATGGAATTTAACACGCACTCATAATTTAAAACAAAACAAAACAAAACAAAACCCCTCCTAGACACCAAAGGATAGAGGGGCCTTCTTTAACCTAAAAATGGTGTCAACAAAAGCCCAGGCACACGCTATAATTAACTGCGCTGCAGACAAAGGCGCTCCTTCTGGAGGGAGCGAGTGCCAGCCTGCTGTTCCCGCTCCTGTCAACGCCGCCCCGAGATCTGTCAGCAAGACGGAGGCATGGAGGCCACGGAGTGAAGAGGAGAAATCAAACTGTCACTTTACCCAGAGGTAAAAGGCCATTTCTTTTTTTTTTTAATATATTTTATTGACTTTTCACAGAGAGGAAAAGAGAGGGATAGAGAGCTAGAAACATCAATAAGAGAGAATCATCAATCAGCTGCCTCCTGCACACCCCCTACTGGGGATGTGCCCGCAACCAAGATACATGCCCTTGACCGGAATCGAACTCGGGACCTTTCAGTCCGCAGACCGATGCTCTATCCACTGAGCCAAACTGGTGCCGACTGAAATGCCATTTCTAATCTGGACAGAAAATATGAAAGTGGAACTATCTAGAGTTATACCATGTTAACAGACTATAGGAATAGAAAGAAAATACAATTCCGGCTGAATCACCACAGGTGTGTGTGTGTGTGTGTGTGTGTGTGTGTGTGTGTAATGCTGTGTCTATGTAATGTGACAACACGATTCTAAAGGCTGGGTGATGACACAAAGGGCCGCGAGCACACTTGTCTTCACTGAACAGCCAGCCGGCGGTGGGACAGGGTCCGGGCCGGAGGGGTCCGGAAGACGCAAGCCTACGCTGACGTGGGACTGAACAGGGATGTGACAGCAGGGGACGGGGAGAGACAGTCTTTCCTACAATGACACCGGGACAGCTGCTCCAGGACCAAAGAACGCAAAGTGGCG